ACACCTACTTTTTCCAAACTTTTTCACAGTCTGGGCGCTCCCAAAAAGAAGAATCTCATTTTAATGAAAACTCCTTCACCAAAAGGTAAATAATAAAACTCGTTTCTAAAGCACCTAACATCATATCATTAGATTATATACACTTTCACCAACAGGTCATCTGGAAATTAGAACATCATATTCTCAAGGAATCCATCATCTTAGGAACAATAGGCCATCTTAGATTTATAACAGCTATCATCAGGTAGTTTTGGCAGACTCATTTAGGTACAAGTTATCAGTAAACAAATAATATATAAAATGTACAGGCTAAAGCTTGAAAAGGAGACTTTCAGAGACCATCCGTCCGTCAGTTAGTTTATTGGTTAATTGACAAATTACATTTTTCTGTGTTGAAAGTTAATGAATAATGAGTGAACACTTAGGCTTTATTGGAGGTACTACTTGAAAACGTTGTTCTCGCTTCATATTCAACAATTTTCACTTTTGATATTCTCCTATAATAAAGTGAAATAATTTTTTTGCGCAAAGCTTCACAATGGGCCATCTGCGCTCTGTCCCTTGCGGTGAACAGAACCCTGGAATTTACCTTTGGAAGACCGTAAACTTACGGTTGACCCACAGGGGGAGACTGGAAGTATCGATATTTTACAGTGATGAAAAAAAATGTGATAAGCGAAGTGTTCAGAGACCTGATATATATATGTCTTGTACATTTTACGTAACGTTTTCTTTTATTAAGTGATAAAGTGTTATTTATTGAACTACTTCAAATAATGATAAAGAGAACTGATACAATTGTTACCTTTTTTATTTAATATTACGTAGCCAGCACCGCCGAGAGCCATCATAGACTTTGTTCCTAAGCGGAAGTTGTTTGAAGAAGTGAAAACTCTGACCAATTCTAGTGTCAGGGGCCTTTTACTACAGTGTACTTAAAAATTATTTTGTTCATATTGCTTCTATTTTTCCATGAAAATAACATTTTAAAAAAAATAATAAACAAAAGTGTGGTATAAATCGTTCAGTAGAAAATACATATCCTAAAGCGGCCAATCGTGTAGTCGAGAGCTGCCCACATTTTTAGTGGGACTTAAAATTATCCACAAAAGTAAAATACCCATTGCTTGTCAGAAATATGACCCAATAACAAATAAACCAAAAAGTAGAAATAATTCAAAGGAGAGATAGTAAATTATTTGAGGAAAAATAGAGAAAAGGGGAGAGGAAAACCTAAATGTTAATATTTATTGGGTTCTACAGTTAAATCGAACAACGGAAATAATTTTGCCACAACGTTGAAGTGGGATAATTTGTATTACTTTGTTTTTAATGAGGAAGAGGTTACACTTCGATAAAGTTTCAGATTTCTGGATCGTACAATAATACTATACGAATTGAAACATTTAGTTTCACTAAGTCAATGTATGCAGGTATTACTAACTGTTTCTCCTCTTCTTACTCTTGGGCACCAAAACCACAAATAACCAAAAGCTACTGTGACTCCGTGCAAGTAAAGATTCTGTTGCCTTTGATATAATTATGTAATTACTTTAACTTTATCGAGCAATAATAATAATAATTTTTGAGCTCTACCAATTATGAAACTCTTTAAAATTAGAAGCCTGATAATATAATTATTGTATTTAAAAATCCATGTTCGCACTTTACATTTCGGAGACCTTGTTAGTTGATTTTTTAATAAATTGTACGGGAACAAAAATTACAATCATATATATAGTTTTAAGTGTAGACATAAACAGTTTTAATCTGACGAAGATTTATAATAACATAAATGTGTTGTGAATGTCTAAATAAGCTGCAGAAACTAGTGTGGTACAATAATTTGAGAAAATGGCTATCTCTATGTGTACATACATTTATAGAATAAAATGCAAGTTCATATACCATTAAAAAGTTTTGAAACTAAACACTAAAACAACATTATAAGAATAAACACTAAAACAATGTCCTAGATATTAGAATATCACAGTTGAGCTCTACACTTCCCAGATACTCTAACAGACACACATATTCGTTATTTAAACAGAACATGTCGAATAAATATATATAAAAAAAGGATCTATACGTCAGTTAAAAACAAATCAACACTGCTAAAACTATACTATTTTGGTAAAACAGGAAAATTATCTAAAGCGCGAAAATACGGCATTGGTTGTCATAGTTAGCATACAAATTATTAAACAAACTAGGTATTTCTTATTTCATAGCTGTGAAATAAGACAAAATAAAAGAAACATCTTTTCAAGAAGACATTTTTTTTAGGTCAAAATGCGGAAAAGAAGTAGAAAATGTTTTCATTGTTTCTTTGTTTGTTTGTTTGTTTGCTTGCTTGCTTCGCAATAATTTCCTAATGGGCATAGCGGCCTTAGGGCATCATCAATATCCGCTGTATCTGATTTTTAGGTACGATTTTGTTGGACGTGGGAGGGTTAGGTACACCTTTGACCTCTTCCCCCCCCCCGCACCCCCCAAACAGTAGATTTTTGCTCTTTTTACCTTTGCTATTTTTATTGCTGTATCAGATTTTGTTTTTTCCCCTTCTAAGATGATATTTAGTACTTTTTATTGTTTAAACCTTTTGATTCTTGGTACTGTGGTTTGGCTGAGTTTACACTGAAAGATTTCTCCACGGGCTCAGCGCTAATGACGTTGTGTCCAGATTGTTTCTGGTGATATTTCCCCACTTGCACA